AACTGTAGATGAACAACATAAAGTGGAAGATAAAAGACCCATATGGAAAAGACAGCTTTTCACCAGGATGCAAAAGGAAGTAAACTGTTTCATGAGACTCTTGTCCAAATCAAAATTGCTATTTTAACATCTGACTTCTGAGCCCATTCTGGTTTTTTTGTTGCTGTAAATCCAAAGCAGCCTATGTAAAATCTTGGAAACTATTCTGTAAACTCAGGACTAAATCGGGTGCTCTCCTTTTGCGGGGCAGATTTAAAGGAATACCATCCTTTGTTGTAGCAAAATAGTCCAGGCTTGTCAATCCAGAAGATTTGTGCATTGCTGAACATAATGGCATTTTATTACCTAGTTTATTTCTGTCTAGCATTCTAAGACTCCTGCTGATGCTTTGACTCAGATTAGTTTTCAGTTGGGAAAGTTGAACTCCAGTGTCACAGATGACTTCTCTCTTTCTGTAATTTGTATTATTTTTTTTTTTAAACTATTAAATGTTCAAGAAAGAAAATGTTTCTCCTGACAGAAGTTCTGTTTCAAACTGTGAACATCGAGCAGCAGTGTGTGAAAAGAGTAGCCTTTATTTTTGCTCCCTTCAGACTCTTGTTACTTGTTCCTAACAGTAGTTTGGGATATTATAGTCAAGCTTAATGATTAAGTAGTAGTACAATAGGTCTCTCACCCTCCTCAGCTGTGACTCAGTAAACCACAACCCTTGTCCATGCAAAAGGATAGATGTTCAAATTCAGACATGCATGCTGAAGGCCAGCAGACTATGCTGTTCTTGAAGTTAGGAAAACTGCATTTACAGAATAATTTCTGCAGTTTAACTATGGCCATTATCTGAAATTGCATATTAATCCAGTTTTTAAAGCAGCTTATTGCAACATAAATCCTGAAATATTTTTGCAGTTTCCATCAGAACACTTGTAAGTAAGGAGGGGTATTATAGTAAAGGTAGATTGAAGAGGCATCTTTATATAAATATGAGAGAAATGGGAAATTTCCTGCTTGAGAAGCAGCATTATGAGAAAAGTACCCTAAAATGTAATTTCATATACAGTTTTATGCAGTAAAAAGTTAAAAGTTCTGGCTCTGCCATTCCCCATTCAGATGTAACATTGTACACATTCATCTTGTATCTTCCTTTATGTATAGCTGTAAATGCCCATCAAAATATTTGCATCTCTTCAGTAATTTAAAATACTAAAAACAAGGGGCCAAATTTCAGCATAAGTTGTGGTTTCAGACCTTCACATAAGTTTCTATATACACACTCCAATGAATGGTACCCTTCCATATATACTCATATCATGCTGCTTGTTCCTGACTGAAGCAATCTGTAAAATGAATATACACTTATATGTCATGTGAATATGGATACATGTGTGAGTAAATCCATGGCATTGCAAAAAAGTATACTTCTAGAATTAATTTCAGTATTTTGATGTCCGGGATGCCCTTTGTGTTTTATGCACTGAGGTTTTGTGCCCTGCCCACACAGCGCCATGGAGTGCTGTGTTTGGGATTCTTGTACTGCCTATACATGATTTACCTCAGGTGTATGTAGTTACCAAGAGAAAAGCTGGCAGTGCTGTGTGCTTTTCCCAATAAATGAGCAGTCTCATTTAGAATTATTGCTAGGATCTTCTTGTGGTGACACTGCTCTGTGCTGTGTAGACAAACCTTGGAGGAGAATTACATGTAAATCACTCATAATAGTCTGAGGCTGGAGTCTTGCATTTTACTCAGAAACTTGCACAACTCTTTCTAGAGACATCTGTATGCTGGCCATTGTTTTCTAACCAGATCCTAATTCTTTTCCATCAAATCTCTGCCTACATGTTATCTAAATAAAACATTCTGAATTTTAATGAGTGAAATTTCATTGCTGCTAATCCTTAGATGCACTGGGCTAATCTGTGAGTGTCCCTTAATTATAAAAAGTGAAGCCGGGAAATTGGGTCCTGGACATATAGAGTAATTATTTTCATAACACTTTTGTTTTTACCCCCATAACATAAGGAAAGAGAAAATGAGTAATTGTGGTTAGGCCAGAGGCCTTAATGATGCTTTCTAGCCCCAGCACTGCCAGTCAGTCCAGTCCAGCTTGGATGAGTCATTTGAAGTCTGTCCACAAAATGTCCATGCCTGCCTAACAGAGGTATGGTGAGATGGGCTGTAGTTAAGCACTCCTGACTCTTTAAGGCACAGAGGAACTTAGAAAAGTGTTCTTCTTGTCATTATGACTCTCAGTAATGGCTTCGTAATCACCATCAGAGCATTTGGCCAGCCTTCAGTCATCACCCCTTGATCACAGATACTGACTCAGGCATTTGCTGTGCTCTGCTTTAAAAGATATGATATTCTTGAAAGAGTTTTATAGACGTTCAGATTCTTCCCACACTTAGTAATAATAGCACGGACATATAAATTGAAATATTTCTAACATGCTGCTGGCCAAAAGCCAAGAACTATCTGCTGCTATTTGGGCTATTTGATAATTATTTGACTACTATTATTTCTTTCTGAGTGCCTATTTTGGACATTCTGCTCTAATAGGTAAATAAAAAAGCTGCAGATTTTGGCTCATAGATCAAACTTGAAGGGGAAAGGAATAATGTAGTGTGAGAATGTAGTAACTGGACTGATAAATAACAAAGCAGGATTACGGGGAAATTGCGCATACGCATGCCAAATGTCGAAGTCTGAATGTTTCTTCTGACTGCACAAATCTGTAGACTAGAGAGATTTGATGAAAGGACAAAGTTGTATTTGTTCCTATTTAAAGTCCAGTCTTTTGTCTTTTATATCACTATTCATATCATTAATACAGAAAGTGTTTCTTTTGGTTCAGCTGAAGAGCTTCAACAGAGCAAGAGATAATTAGAGATCTGTTGTCTGAGAAATTACAAAAGAAGGCCTTGGTATATTGAGATGAGGCCAAAAGTGCATAATGAAATCCTTTTGGGAAAGTTAAGCCTATAGAGACACCAAAATTCTGAATTTATTGCAATTTCAATGTGGGACTCCAAAAGGGATGTGAGTCAAACCTGCTATTGAAAATAGCAGTGTCATTAAATACTTTTTCCTCTGGCTATCTCCTGTTCTTTCAGCTTGTTAGTCATTCTTTATTCCAGTGGACACTAGTGGATTGTATGCTGATATTATTCTTATGAAAACTAAGCCTACAAATATGCTGTGCAGCTCAGAAAGTGCCATTCTCCCATTTCTACATATGTGCTTTTCTTAGCCACCAGATTTTGCCCCTTTTGCAATGTCATTCATATTTGCAGCACAGAAACATCCTCTTGGTCTTTGCTGCTGCATTTCTCACATCACATTCCCACAGCACATACTCAGCAGAAACTCTACTTTGCAGCCAGTTGTGGAAGCTTGATAAGCCTTTGTCATAACAGTAGTCCCTGACATTTAAAGGACTTCAGTTTATATTTGTCAGCCAAATTTCATACCTTCATACCTCTTTCAATTAATCAAAGTTAAACCATTGTATATGTGAAGGGGCCTCTTGTGGTTTCTAAGTAAGTAGTATGGCTTTTCTGGCAGAGAGCCACAAGCAATTTAGTAGGCACATACTGTGGGGGTTGAGAGGAAGAGAGACAGGAATAATCCAGAAGGCTTTAAGAAGGGCTGAATGAAATCAGTATTTCTGTACACAGTACAAGACTTTTGCATTCTATATCTTACTTTTGGCCATGGCAAAACTGTTTCGGTGTGTTGTCGTTTAGGTAATTTTGAAACATAGCACCAACTTTGTTTTCCTCTTAACCAGTTTTGCACTGGTTTTACTTCAGTTGAAGCATTCCCAATTGCACCTGTGGCAGAGAAGAGTTAGGCACGAGGGATTTAATACATGCTTTACAATTGTCATATTGTCACTAAACTGTTTTCACAGGAATAAACCTAATGTAGTTCCTAGCTGTCTTTAGGAATAATGTAGTTTCCTAGCTGTCTTCTTTTTTAGCCTAAAAGTCAGGATGAGGCTTTACCATGTACCTTTTGTCTGAGAGCTCTACAGCTGTAAATAGATACTAACATAAAAGGTCTGTCTCCAGCAGAGCTGATCTCTCTTTCCAATTCTGACAGGGGTCACATAGTCAATGTAAATTACCACCATAAACTAAATTCCACCTCTCCTGTAGAACAAAGTGCCTGATCTGCCTGCCTAGAAGTCAGGAGCTATGCAGAGAACTGTAATATTTCAACAATTCAGCATGAGTGGCAACCTGTTCTTAATAATGAAACACTAGCAACATTTAATTTCATTTTGTTTCATCATGTTAAAATCCATCCTTTCTTTAGGGGATTTAAAAACCAGCTGAAGGGAACCTGAAGACAAAGAGAATAATTCAAGTGGAAGCACTATCTTCCTCTGTATTTCATGCAAGTTCAGGTTCAAGATGCACATCTTGATGCCTACAGGGAACGAGTTACTCTTAGAAAAGGATAGTCTAGACACCTCAAGAAGAATGTGATTTCTCCGTTTTATCTGTAGTTTTGATTTAATTGAAATATGTATTATAATAGGAATGTCAAAAGAGTTAGTGGATTTTACTAGAAATGAAATTACAATCAGAAAATTTTAACTATTATTGGCAATTTTTTGGAGGCTGTATTGATTTACTTGGGTGTTTTATAACTAAGCTACAATATGCTGTTAAAAATGACATGTAGGTTGGAAACTTTAACTTGAAGCTAGTTTCTTATATAGATACAACATCTTGAAATCAGTCTAAAAGATGTCAGAATCTCAAGAACTCAGCAGATCAAATATTATGCAACAGGCATATAATGGAAACTTTGGCCCCAGTTCAGCATATGACTATCTAGACTATTTTACACACTCCTTTTTTGATATTAAAGATGAATTCAATGTAAATGTCTGGAATTCTTCTTACAAGCTTGTTGAAAAGGGACAGTATTTTAGCATGACTCCCTTGTGCAAACCTGGTGTTTAGCAGATTACGTATGTTATTCTGTTATAGGTACACTACAGTGATAGACAAAATGGCAAAGAGTGTATGACCTGTTTGACACTGTCTCCTGTGCAGATGACTTTCCAAGGTATCGGAAGCTCCATTGAAGCCAGCCATGACCAGGTATAATACCTTCACCCCACACTCTTGTAATTTTATTAATATCTGGTAAGGCCAGAATGTCAGCATTAGTAAATTTAAAATTTCGACACATCTTGTGCTTTTCATATGGCATGCTCTTGTCACAGGGATTTTCCTCTCTTGCCCTACTAAAATCCTAATTAGATCTAAAGAGTGAAATGAAAAGGAGACAAAACTATATTGCCTTTTACATATTTCTAAGACATATTAGGAAAAAGCCTGAAGAGCTTGCTTTGGTTTTAAAGTCAGATGTAAGGTTTCTGCAAAGGTTTTATTTGCTTTTATGTGTGTATCAGGTCTTGTCTATTCTGTTTTTGTCAGAAGATTATGAGTAGTCGGAAAAGCAGAGAGATGAAGCCATCATCTCTAGCCATCATCTGTCACAAGAAACTGGCATTTGAGAGGGGAAAGGCATTTTTAATCAGACTTTGTAAAACTCCCATTTTGTTTGGCTGTTGCTAAAACATTTAATTCAAGCTTCTGGCAAAAAGCCAGAAGAGAAAAAAAAGGCTCAATGTTAATCATTTATCACCCTGTTGCTTCAGATGGGAACTGAGGGGGACTTCCATTCTTGTTGTCTTTTCCTCCACCACTCGTATGTATAAAAGCAAGACAAGACTTTGATACTCTGAAAGTATTAAAAGCAAAAAGGAAACAAGTAGAAGAAAGCATTAAACCAAACCTTGCACCTTTCATATCTTCAGTAGATTAGAAAAAGTTACCATGTTTACTTGCTTTTGCAGGTTATCTTTAAATGGTACTGTGTTCACGTTACATTTTATCAGACTCTATGCAAAATCCTCTAAGAAAAAAAGGGAAAGCTGCCTTAAGAATTGGCAGAATTAGTTACTTTTGGGGAAAAGTTTCAGTCACTCTTAGCCATGTTTTTGTTTGGTGGGTTTTTTATTGCGAGTTCCTAAGTTAGTTGTTAACATAAACTAAGCCCATTAGTTATTTACATGGTAACATGAGGATACTTCCTGCCCTTAAGTGTTTGGTGTTTTACAGAAATGGAGAGCTGTGGTAAGTCAGACCATACTTTAACATTCAATTCTCATTTCATCCAGCAACTTGTTTATGCTGCTCTAAAGCTGCTCCATTTTTCTTTCACTAAAGATAGGGTTTTACAATATAGTTATAACACAAGTATGATATTTAGACATTTCAATGAATTTAAGGTGGTCCCTGTCAATTTGGTAACAACTACATTCTGGGCTACCAGCCAGCTTGGCCTTTGTCTTAGCATTTATTTAGGCTAGAGTATGATATGTAAACAGAAAAAAGACTCTGTAAGCAAAAAGCACATTTAAGCCATCCAAATAATTATATATTTAAGACCTCTAGATGAAAATGCCATATTGAGCCTGCAAAGTCAAGCACCCAGAAATTAGGAAATTCCAGATTATGTGCAGCATTAGTTTCACCCCAAATGTACCCATTCAGTGCTCCAAACAGGATATTCTTCTGAGAAGGAAAAAAAAAAAAAAAAAAGCGTAAAATCACACAGATAAAGATTGTATCATAGCACATTCACAAATAAGTAGAATTTAATTTGCTTGGGCCATTTTGTAGATGGAATTTCCTCATCTTGTTTCAATTTGAAGTTTAAAGAATGTTCATAATTGGTTTTAGTTACGTAATTTTCCACAGGGTTCTTAAAATGGAAAGAAAAATGTTTTGTTATTTCACGATGGGGTGGTTGTTGTGTTACTGAACCCACATCACTTGTGCAAAGATTTCATCTGAGCCAAGAGCAAAATAAAATAATAATCTGAAAGCCAAATGCCAACCCGTGGCTCACAAAATAGATCCACTCACTGGACAGGATGCACAAATTTCTGCTCATGTCTTTCCTAACTGTCAGAGGGAATTTCATTTTCTGGGGAAAAGGGATGCTATTGGTGCGTTGTGTTTGATAAGGGGGTAGCAGGACTAGATTAAAGCATCATTTTCCATCACCTGAATAAATAGAGAAAATCATTAGCAAGTTAAGTGTTTGCCAGGCACTGGAATTAATGAATTAGTGACAAAATTAGGGCTATTAATAGACTAACTAAAGGAAAATTTCCCTTTTCTCTGTTGTTCCTGTGTGCTTGGTATGTTTTTCCTTGTTTCCTACAATTTTACACACAGTAGGTTGATTTTATGGTTTTTACTCTTTTAAAAATAGGATACAGAAATACTGCACCTTTGTCAAACTGAACTTCATTTTAAAGTGTCAAATAAGTGCAAGATGCTATGTATGCTATAAAACTTGAATTTTAGAAATTCTTCTTTAACTTTTGTAATCTGTGACTTTTAAATCATGTCTATAGTATTTTGTGGCTATTAGGATGGGCTGATCACCTGGAAGCCTGTGATTTCAGTGGAGGGATGGTGATTTGTGCCTCAGTGGTGAGGCAGGGCATAGTTTGACATCAGGAATTGTCGGCTTCTGTGCTTAGGAAGATCATTTTTCTCACATTTGTCTTAAAATATTGATTCTATAATTTCTAGAGGTATTTTTATGGAACACTTCAGGAATGAGACTCTGGAATATTTTGGGGGGAAAAGGAATAAAAAGTGCTGTGTGAGAGTATCTAATAAAAAAGCTATTTGTCACTATATTGTGGCAGAAGAACCATAGGACTGTGGTATGTGGAAGCTGATCAAAAAAAACCCCAAAAAACAAAAAAGGAATAGAAATGAAAAGGGAAAAAAAAAAAGAAAACTATGTCGCCAGTGGCATCTCCAGCACTATAGAATACCTTTCAGATTGGAATTGTCTTTTGTAATGTGTCTCCCTACTCATATCCAGTGGGAGATTTGTTACCAGCAGATACCAAAGTGGTTACAATCCTACATAAGTACATTATCTGGCTGTTTCAAATATGTCAAGACTTGACACTGCAGTTTTTCAAGTCTCTTGCTCTTTTCCTGTACTCTGTAGGGAGTTTTCATTCTTTAGATTGGTTTAGCTTGTGATTTTAATGAGTTCAAATATTTTCCCCACATTCTTCATCTGAGCAATTTCAGATTAATATAAACATATCAGACTGGTACACTAATTAGTGTGCATTTTGAATGTCTGATTGACGAGGCATATCTCATTTGGTCATGAAGCAGTATTGTGGAAGCAATTGCTGATCTTCCATTTTTCCTTTGACAAAAAGAAAAAAATGGGAAACATTCCTAAAGCACCACTGCAGTCTATCCTCCACATATTTTGCTGGGTTTTGCATTCAGGTATGCCAACCTCTTTTATAAAAATTTAATGGGGTTCATAATTTCTTTTTCCTGAATTATTTCTTTCTATTTTTTCTGTTTCTCATTATCTGACTAAAACTCTAAAATTCTTTTTTCTTAACAGCAACTATTCTTTGGAGGTTTTTTTTCAGTAAAATTTAGCTACAAGTAGCTATTAGTTAAAATGGTCACCACTTTCTATGGATTTTCTCAATAAAAGCTGAATTTTTCCTTAATGGTAGTAAAGCCTGGTATTTTTTACATTGCTGTAGGACTGGATACAACCTATCCTCAAGGCTTATGATGGACTTCAGGCATATATTGTAAAGCTGGGGAACGAATTGAAAATGGGTGATTTAAAGTAACAGAAAGGAAGTCCAGATAGTTTTTTTATTTGTGTCACTGAGAAAATTCAAGATATGAAAAGTAGGAGATAGAAAGGGAAAAAAATCATAGATAGGAGGCTATATAAGCAAAAAAATAGTTGGAATGAGGCAGAAAATGAAGAAAGTGCAGGGAAACGGGACAGTGGATGTCTGAAGGCCACAGAAGTGGGATAAAGAGAGAAAGTTAGAGTTATGCAAAAGGAGTGATCAAAAACCCCAACAAAAAAAGACATCTTGTTCACTGCTGCATCTCAAACTACTGAAACCTGAATTTCTTGTTACTGCTACAAATAAATATCTCCCAGTTTTAGTGAACTGTGACACATGGAGAGTTCTTTGAATTCTTGAGTGCAGGCACACTAAGAACTGTAAGTTAGAAGATGTAATGCTTGCAATTGAAGGAAATGGAGATTTATGTTTTCCCTGGAGGACTCTAGGCAATACCTTAAAGTTCTTATAGATGTCCTGCACTCAACAAATATCACTGGATTCACTGTAAGGGTAGATAGGTTGAGTTTGATGCCCTATGTCAAACAAGACAGCCGTGACATAGGTTCAATCTAAGAAGTGACATACTTCTGCTATGCCATGAGCAAGCCAGTGTCAAACCCAGCTTCCATGTTTACATATATATTTTAGAGACTTGCAATGTTGCTGTCTTTAGTGGCTTTATAACAATTGTTTTTCTGGATGTTACAGCTCTGAGTGACTGAGTGTTTTTGGGGTATCACACTCCTGTGGTTGTCATAGCTGTGAAGGAATAAACATCTTGGGTGTGTTCTTAAGGCTTACTGAACAGCAGACAAATTGAAAATATGAACATTCATTTTTAAATAAAATTATTTAAAAGTCACTGCTAGTGATGAGAAAGAACAGGGGCCTATTTTGAGATTTTTGAATGCTTGCCATGGAGTACTCTGCCTGTAAAAGTAAATTTTTAATTCCAAGTAACTTAATGTTCATTGAAGAGTGACCAGTTCTCCACTTGAATTTCAGGAAGCAGATCAAAGAATAACGCAGTTTCTTAAAGTCTCATTGCTTTAATACTTTCTGATGTTTTTGGAGGTTTTAACCACATGCATGTTTTTTGGAACTGGCAATACTGTCCATTTGTTTATTACTGAGTTCAGCTGTTTACTTCACCTAATTGTGCTGTTAAAATGATATCAATGAACATTTTATGCCTATATTTTTATTCCTTGCTTTCTTAATGTTATCTATTATATTTATGCTGAATATTAGACTGTAGTTTTAGAACTCTTCTGCACTTTGCAGTGTGCAGAATGGAATAGTTGTATTTTGCAGGAAGATACCAATTGTTTAATGTTATATTTAACCTACCACTAATAACACTTTAATTTTCAAGTATAA